ATATTCCCATTCATCTTATAAGCAGTGGCGTAAAAGGCGGGGCCGGGGGGGGGGCTTTAACATTTTTTAATGTTAAAGCTTGTGCTTGCTCTCCTTTGCCTTCTAAGTTATAACACATAGTCCCAAAACTCAAGAAAGAAAAATTAAAATAGATCGTTTTACCTAAAAGAAGGGCCTCAATGCGTAATGATGTTGAAAGAATATGTTTGTAATAAATAAAGCCATAAGGAAAATGCTTATATTCAGTTTAAAAGAACGAGTGTGGCCATATATAAGACATAAGAGCATTTCTTGTTGAGGTAGGCCAATTTCCTCTAAAAATTGCACATTTAGGGAGTTTTGATCAATTGCGACGAAATTAGAATTAACAACACAACATTTTTTCGCGCGCATTTGTTAGGGTTAAGGCTTGTGCTTGCCCTCCTTTGCCTTCTAAGTTATTTAAAAACATAATAGTCCCAAACTTGAGAAAGAAAATTTAAGATAGATCGTTTTACCTAAAAGAAGGGCCTCAATGTGTAATGATGGTGAAAGAATAGGCCTATGATTGTAATAAATAAAACCACTATGAAAATGCTTATATTTAGTTTCAAACACACGTGTGTAATAATAAAATAAGCCCTATGTCGTATTGTTTTCTATGTGGGGGGAGGGGGTAAGTATCACATCAATTTATAAATTACTAACCGGGAAAATTATTACCTTTGCTGCCACCCCCCTGACCCAAGACCCCTGTTACGCGCCTGCTTATAAGTGGGCCCCCCCCCACTTTGAAAAACGTTCCGCCGGCCCTGCGAATAACAAAATCGAGTCCTAATGATGTAGCGGATCTTCGTCTTGTTGGTGGTAGCTACAACATGTGTGAAAATCATAATTGTACTTGATATACTTTCGGAGATATTTGGTGGACTGAGAAAAACACCAGACGTTATTTTAGTAGTATAGATGGCAGTAATCATAGAGCGAGTTTTTAGTGTATGGAGCACACTTGGGTGCAACTTAAAAAGTGCCATGAAAAATTTCTGCACGTCCGCCGTTCAATACTGGCCCGAATCAATCAAATCGAATCAATGAACCGAGTGTTTTAGAGCTTTCCATCGGAACCAATAATAATGATAATATAAATAATTGGCCGCTAATAATAATAATGATAATGATAATAATAATGATAATAATAATAATAATACTTGACCCTAACGGCCGCCCATACAAAAAAAAAAAAAAAGGAAGTACAAAATAGATTACTTATTTCTAATCAATCAGCAGGGTACTCCTAGAGCTCCTCATCGGAACTAAAAATCAAAGAGCTAATAAGATAGAAATATTTGAACAATTAGAATGTTCTTAAAAATTAAAATTAAAATAGCAAGACGCGATTCGAACTTACGCCCTATGGTTCCTTAGAATCATCGCATAACCGTCACATAGACGGCGGTTAAACCGACCGAGCCATCCATACGATGTGTGCTATATAGTGGTAATGCTGAAACCCCTCATTAGTGCATGGAGCACACTGGGGTGCAACTTACAATGGGCCATGAACGTTTGTTGGAAATCACGTCTAGTTTATGGGTATAAAATGTCCTGAACGTCCGCCATTCAAAACTGGCGTCGAATCAATATTTTAGAGCTTCCCATCGGAGCCAATAATAATAATAATAATAATAATAATAATAATATAAATAATTGACCGCTAATAAAAATACTTGGCCCTAACGGCCGCCCATACAAAAAAGATATATTAATTACTCAATCAGCAGGGTACTCTTAGAGCTCCTCATCCGAGCTAAAAAAAAGATTTGTTATTATAGCGTGCAGTAAAACTTCACAATTGACGCACGGTCGACCGTGTCGATAGCGATATCCAAATTAAATAATGAAGTTCTGGGATTTGCTTCACCAGCACTTCCGCGATATTGCAATAAAACATGTACAGTATTATTGTTTTAAAAAAGAATGAGCAGAACATTTATTGAAATATTTACGGAAGCATTTGTGGGGAGATGATACAGCTAAAAAAATTAAGTGTTACAATTGCAATAATTCTTGATTAATTTAATTTGTATGCAAATATTACATGACAATTTTTTTTTTTCCTTCTCTAGTGGTGAATTCAATGATATTACTGCAGGAATAACAACTTTGGATGATAATTCTGTGTTTCGTGAAAGTGTCCTTATTGCTGAGACTTTTATCCATCCAGAGTATGATGCCTTTAGTAATGATAATGATATTGCATTACTTAGACTCGATTCACCAGTACAATTTAATCAATTTGTTCAGCCAATTTGTTATGAAAGTTTAGAGTATCTACCAGGTACATCGTGTTATATAGCAGGATGGGGACTCTTGGCGGAATATGGTAAGATATGATTTACAGTTGCATGCATGTAAGAGTAGGGCCTAGCTTTGATATTGGTCCGCTACAACATTGGTGTAGTTTATTGTAATAAAGCCTATCCACCAGTGGCTACGCTAGGAGGGGGGGGGGGAAAGAATTTTTTTCGCCCCCCCCCCACCAGTTTTCCCCCAATTTTTTCCACAGAAAAGAAGAAAAACCACAATTCGTCGGGGAGAAAAAAAAATTATGTATATTTTCTACATATTAGTAGACTATCTGTACGGTATATAAAATCGATTAAATAACCCTCTGAAACCTCTAAATTTTCATATTTTTCGGTGGCTCCTTTTCCTGGACCACTTTTGAAGCATTTTATTCGCCACCCGACCACGCTCACTTTGATCTCGTTGGGGACCTTGCCCTTCCAAATCCTACCTTTCCCCTTACTTTCCCCCCTCCCCTAGATTTCAGACGCTGACGCCGCCACTGCTATTCACTCAGTGTTTGAAAATAATTTAGTAGTTCCTCATTTACATTTTACTCATTGTTTATTTGTTTCCAAAATTGCAAATAAATAATAATAATAATAATAATAATATTATTATTATTATTATTATTATTATTATTATTATTATTATTAACAATAATAATAGTAATGGTAATAATAATAGCTATTTCAAAAGAAGTTGGTTTTTGTACAACCGGGCCCGGTGGCTTTATACGGAGGGCGCGGGGCCTGCCAATAAACCTCACCCCTTCCAGACCACCAATAGAAATTTGCTTAGCAAAAAAGTACGCTCATGTAGTTAACAATCACCAGGTCCGCGCGTTCCTCCATGCTTAAATACGGCACAGGCGCAAGGTATAGTATTGGTTTATTTGGAAGAGCTAATAAGATAGAAATTTTTTAATAATTAGAATGTTTATTTTTTGTACCAAAAAAAAACAACCATTATTTAGAATGATCATTTGTACAAAATTAAAATAAATAAATAGGAAAGAAAATGAATATCAAGGCGCGTTTCAAACACACGACCTTAAGTTCATCAGGCCCGTAGCCAGAGCAGTTTTTGTGTTTAATGGGTCTATATAATGTTATAAAAGCAGTTATGTTTTTAAAAAAGATCTATGTAATAAAAGGTGGTATATAATAAAATTTGAAAATATTTTCTGAGAATTGGCATGTTTTAATTTAATCACACCGAAAGACAAAAAAAAAACCTCATCGCATAATCAATATCAATACACTCAACACATTTATTATTATAAAACAAAACGAGCTATTACATAGGCCTATAAAGTAATTTACAAAGATTTACTACAACTGACAGGGCCATCGTTAAATTAAGTCAGAGCCCAAAATATAGCATCATATTGAAAACGTCATCTGCCATCATGGGAACCTAAACTTTAATTACAATTATTTGTTTACTAGGCCTAATTCGAAGTTATTGTTTTAAGACTTTAACCTAATACAAACTGCTGATTAATAATAGCTGAGATTTGATGCACATTTCAGAATTAATAATCGTTTTTAGTATCTTACTAAATATTTATTGTCTACCAAATGAAATAT